AAATATCAAAAAATTATTATAAAAAAAGTTTAGGCAAAAGCCATAGACTTGAGTTGGAACAGTGTGGTTAAACCGTCCAACCAATGCAACAAAGTACAAACCAACTCCATGCAACAGAGAAACAAATAATAATAATAATAATAATAATAATATCTTTATTCTTTATTTTTCCCGAAATTTCTTTACTCTTTGCTCTTTACTACGCTCCTTCAGCAATCACCGCATCAGCCACCGGTAAAATTTATGGCCGTCGAGTCCGAGTCAACCCCTCAATAACTCCACATTTACTCGCACACCGTTATGCCTCTTCCCCGTTAGTCCCCCCACCAACACCGTTACCCCACACTCCACTCAGTTGAAAAACAAAAGACCTATAGCTAGTAACTACAAATCCAACCCTCTTTCTCTCTCCCCAAGTCCCACCCATATATCCTATCCCTTCATTTAATTCTTCAATTGCTTCCTCAGAAGATGCTTTGAAGAGATGAAAATGGCGGGTTTTTACAGGCTGATTGTTTTTCTGTCTTTTGTTGTCCTTGTTCAATCTTCATGTAATAGTAAAGACAGAGGGCTTGTCTCCAAAGCGTTTCGCTCTGTCTCTGGATTCAACAGTTCTTGGTTAGATTCCCTGGATTCGAACTGTTCGTATCATCTGATTAAGGAGATAAAGTTTTCGTCCAGGAATCTGAGCGGGATTCTTTCATGGATGTTTCTCCGGAACATGTCGAAGTTGCGGAGGATTGATCTGTCCGACAATTTTCTACAAGGCTCTGTTCCAGGTTGGTTGTGGTCCGTTCCAACCCTGGTCGATGTCAACCTGTCCAAGAATGGGTTTGGAGGGGCTGTTGGCTACGAACCCACATCGGGAAATGGTTCTGTTTCGTCGATTCAGACGCTGAACCTCTCATCCAACAGGTTCACCAACTCTGTTAAGCTTTCTGTTTTTTCAAAACTACAATTTCTTGACCTTTCGCATAATGATCTTGGTTTTCTTCCGTCTGGGTTCACCAATCTCACCAAACTCAAATACCTCGACATTTCAAATTGCAAGATTTCGGGCAGCATAAAGCCAATTTCAGTTCTTCGCTCCCTCAAGCACTTAGACGTGTCCAACAATTCCTTGAATGGTACGTTTCCTTTTGATTTTCCCCCAATTAGTGGCCTCAGGTTCCTCAACATTTCGCTCAACAACTTTACCGGTTGTGTTCGCTCTGACAAACTCAATAGATTTGGGAAATCTGCTTTTGTACAATGTGGAACAGGAGCTTCCGTCTTCAATACTTCAAATAGGCCTTCAAGTCCAAACAACCCCATTAGTCCACACTCAAATTCAATACCCCCACCTCACATAATTGCCCCCAAACACGGACCCCTCCAAGAACACAACAAAAACCGCAAACCCATTACAAAGTCCAAAGCTTTTGTTCTGGGTTTATCTTGCTCCTCAGGTTTTCTCCTCGCCTCGATTGCCTTCTTCATCTTTTGTGTATGGAGAAGAAAGAAATTAGCCAGGAGAAACAAATGGGCGATTTCCCAACCGGTTCAACTTCCTTTCAAGATGGACAAATCAGGGCCGTTCTCGTTCGAAACAGAGTCGGGGACATCATGGGTGGCAGATATCAAGGAGCCCACTTCAGCTCCAGTGATTATGTGCTCCAAGCCATTGCTGAACCTAACCTTCAAGGACCTGATCGCCGCCACGTCACACTTCGGCAAGGACTCTCTCCTCGCCGAGGGCAGGTCTGGACCCCTCTACGGTGCCATCCTCCCAGGTGACCTCCACGTCGCAATCAAGGTACTAGAACACGCCAGAGACGTTGATCATGACGATGCAGTCGCCTTGTTCGAAGACCTGTCCAGGCTCAAACACCCCAACCTCCTGCCCCTCGCCGGGTACTGTATGGCAGGTACCGTACCAAATTATGACTTCGCATTTAATAGCCTCACGGGTTTGTTTTTAAAAATTCAAAGCATTCATGTCTTGTTCTCACGTAAATCTACAAAATGCTATAATTACTCTTTTTCGAGTATTTTGAATTTTTACCCTCTTAATTTTACCGTTTCTTATTATTATTATTTTTTTAATTAGGGACGGAGAAACTGGTATTGTACGAGTTCATGGCCAACGGGGATTTGCACCGGTGGCTGCACGAGCTTCCGGCGGGGGTGCCTAACGTGGAGGATTGGAGCACTGACACGTGGGAGAATCATAACATAACCGGGTCCTACTTCTCATCACCGGAGAAAACCAACTGGATCACGCGTCACCGTATTGCTGTCGGGGTTGCTCGGGGTCTCGCTTACCTACATCACGTCGGCTCCACCCACGGTCACTTGGTGTCGTCCAACATCCTTCTATCTGATAATCTCGAGCCACGCATCGCCGACGTCGGGTTTGGAAACATCGGGCGCCGAAAAGGAGGAGATGATGAGGGAAATAGCCAAAGCGGCGCCGAATTTGACGTGTATTGTTTTGGGGTTATTTTGATAGAGCTGTTGACGGGAACGCAGGGGACGGAGGAGAGTGTGAAGCGCGTGAGGAAGTTAGTGAAGGAAGGGGTTGGGATTGAAGCGCTAGACTCGAGGCTGAGACTGGGCGGTGACTCAGTGAATGGGATGGTGGAGAGTCTCCGAGTTGGGTACTTGTGTACGGCGGAGTCACCTGGGAAAAGGCCCACTATGCAGCAGGTTCTTGGTTTGCTCAAAGACATACATCCACTACTAGATCTAAACTGAGCCAATTGTTTTGCACGCGCTGCTAGTTTGGTGATGGAAAGTTCTAGATTTATTTTTGTAGAGACCGTATATCTTGTTGTCTCTCTATTTTGGATTTTTAATTCTTGTTTCTCTCTTTTGTGGTGTACAGGCAAAAATTAAAAGAAAATTGGGTGAAAAGGGAAAAAAAGTGATGTTTCCTTCTTTGAATGGGGAAGCAATTAGAGCAGAGAATCTCACTTATTGCTTGTCTCTTCTGCTGGAGGCTCCATCATCAACCCATCGGATCCAACCCTTTGTTTTTTTAAATCTTTTTTATTTCTTTAATATTTTTTATATTATTCTTTATAGCCTTTCTTCTTTTTCTTTATTGTATTTTACGCTTTATTCCATATTATTTTTCTTTTAGGAGGAAAATTAGATACCTTATCCTGTTTCATTCAAGGTTAAATTTAGTGCATACACATGGGTGTGAGTGCTAAGTTTTCATGGTAAAAGGTTCTATCCAAAAAAAAAAAAGTGGGGTTGATAAAGCAGCATGAATCATTGATCCGTCTCTATCCCTGATTTTTGGAGTTTTCCTCTTAACCTAACAAGGAAGAAGATGTAGCGGTCCACCACCATGTTCGCAACATTTGAACTGCGTGCATGTCTAGTAATGGTTTTGGTTACTAAACTAATAAAAAAAAAAAAAAATTCGAACTTAACACTTTTATTAAGATGAGATAATTTTTAATAAGGCATAAGTGGTTATTTGGGCCATAAGGACTTCTTGGCCCAATGGATTTAATAGTAAAGAAAAGAAAAAAAAACATAGATTGGTGACTTGGTGAGTTAGTGTGGGCAATTCATGATATGGGTTGGCTCAATAGGTCTAATAAGTAAATTTGATAAGATGGGCTTAATCCAGCCCAATACAGGCTTTGTCAATCCCAATCCTAAAACTTACCTTTTTCGCTCCAAATTTTCGATTTGCCATCACAATTTATATATCTTGTTCACTGAAACAGAAGCAAACCCTACAATCTAAATTCCAAATCCCAAAATTTCACCAATCTGATTACGAATTCTCTGGATTCAATGGCATCCAACAAGAAAGCTTCCGAAGGAATTGCCCTGCTCTCCATGTACAACGACGAGGACGATGAGGAAATGGAGGAAATGGAAGAAGATGATCAAGGGAGAGGTGGAGAAGAGCAACTGAAACAAGCAGAGTCGAAGGACAATATGCAGGAGGATTCGGGACCTGTCGTTAACGAAACCATGCCGCCGGTTCCTCGCGACAACTCCGTCCCTTCAATACTACCTTTGTTTTCAGCTTCAGCAACCTCGCCGCAGCAAGAGGAAGTTGTTCCTTCAGAGACTAAAAGGAGTGGCACGGGGAGGTTGACCATTGTTGACTACGGCCATGATGAAGTAGCGATGTCACCTGAGATCGAGGTACTCTTTCAAATTCTGGCTAAGTGACTCTTATTAAATTGAGTGTTGTCTTATCTTCTTATTATTTGGTTGTGCTTTCTGTACATCTGCTTGGTTTGTTATGAATTTGTGAGGATGTCGTGATTTCATTTGATTCTGATTTTCCTGTTGTTTTTGAGTGCAGGAAAGGGAACATGGCAGCAGTGATCAGGTGATGTATGGTGTGGAGCATCAAACTGCTACTGGTACTATTAATTTTCTTTTGTGATAAATTTAAATAATCTGAAATGTTGCTACATTTGTGGAAAGCTTATGATTTTTTTTGCATGGAGAATTGGACTCTATAGCTTTAAACAGTATGTTGTACGCGATATGGAAACTCGGTAAAGAGGGGAAAGGATCTAGGGTTAGTAAATGCAAATCAATGAGTTGGAAAAGCTTCATAAATAGCTTAAACTTGCCACTATATTTACTGGATATAAATTTGACATGACTAAATGTTTAATGAAATAGTTGAAACTGAAGTGGCGTTTGTGAAGTTATGTATGGGGGTTGGGTTTTTGCCTGCCGCTGGGAAGTAGAATTTTATGTCAACTTGTTGTAGCTGGGTTGTAGAAACCTTTATTCGTATTCATTTGAAAAAAATCTCATAGATCTGGTGGACAATTGTTTCCACTAAGTTCAGCTGAAACCCATAAGTTATCTAGCCTAGTGTATAACTTACAACCGGGTCAGGTATATGGAAAAGAAAATCTGCAAATATGAAAATCTTTGTTATATTTTTTGGTTCTTTTAAAAAAAGAGGAAGCTCGCTTTGCAATTATGAAATTCTTTGTTATCTAGCCTACTGTACAACTGAAAATCAGGGCTTAAAACTTTTAGTAAATCTTAAATGAGTTACTTGTGCCCTTCTAATCTATGCTAATTATACATAGAGAATAAGAGGGAGGGAGTGCCATTGCTATATAGGGTTGGGCCGTCAGTGTAAAATGAAGATCTTTTCAAATTCATGAATATCTTTGTTGATTAAAAATAAGAAATGAAATTGAAAATTATTGGGCAAAACATGGAAGGTTAATAATTATGATATTTGAATGGCATGTTCCTGTCCCATTTCCTTCGGTGGAAAAATGAAATTGGCATCTCCCAGTAATGATTATCTGGTACGATTTCCTTTCCTAACTATATTATTTATCTGTACCTGGTGATTTTCAAGGAAAAACGACTCCCGGAGCTGCTCAATTGACTCCACAATTATCAGATATGGAACCATCACAACCTGTTACCGTGAGTCACGCTGTTGGCGAGTCAGAAGCTATAGAAGTCGAGGAAGCTGTTAAAGTTTCTGAAGAAGATGCCGATCTATTGGACAAGTTTCTTCCACCACCACCACAAGCTAAATGCTCAGAGGAGCTACAAGTAAGTTTCCTCTGCAGTAAGTCTAATACCTTAAACCTTTTGGGTGATTGGCGTGTGGTCCACTTCTTTTATTACTCTTTATATACTTTTTATCTCCCTAGGTCTTGGATTATTTGAAAGCCTTGAATGCCCTTTGTACTACTTGATCAGAAACTGTTTAGAATAGTCATGCTCTTTTCCTTTGTCCCCTTGTGTTTCTTTGGTTTTTGGACTAGGTTTGACAATAATTAGAATTTGGTGGGGAGTCTGATGAGGTGCTCATGATTCCCTTTTGTACTCAGTGCTCCACTTTTAGATGCCTAACTCCGCATTTCCTGTTTTCTATCTCTTTCTTAATACATAGTTATACTTTTATTTTGAAATATAGAAAAATGCTGGGTAAATTATCTTAAAATATTTCAGATGCAATCTATTTTTCCTGCAAACTAATTGTCAACATTGGTAACGCAGAGCAGGTAGTTCGCCAACATGCAAATAGTTGTAGTCTAATGCATTGAATCTTTCTTCTTTTTTTTTTTTTTTTTTTTGAAATAACTGATATTGCAAGCATTCTTTGAAGGATAATTTAGTTACTTCAACAAAAAATTCATACCACACTCATAATCCCTTGCAGTTTTCATAAATTTGGTTGAATTCTTTATTTCTGCCCATTTAAGATATTGGATATATCCATGCCTTCCTCAAGTGTGCTTTGTATTTTGTAAAACAATTAAATAATGTTGCATTCATCTTTAATTTAATATTCTTTTTTTTTTTCTTTTCTTCTTGTCTTGTTACTTCAGAGGAAAATAAATAAATTTCTCAATTTGAAGCGAGCTGGAAAGAGCTTTAATGCAGAGGTGCGTAACAGGAAGGACTATCGCAATCCTGACTTTTTGCTGCATGCGGTGAGCTATCAAGACATTGATCCGATAGGATCTAACTTCAGTAAAGATGTGTTTGATCCACATGGATATGACAAAAGCGACTTCATTGATGAAATAGGTTATTAACTCTTCCTTCTACAAATCTCTTCCTATCTCTTTTATTAGCAGAAATATTTTCTTTTAAGGAGTTGTTGCTTTCTTTGCAAATAATTACTTTTTTGGTTTTGTCATTGCTCATGCTGCAAGATGGGCCATGCGTGGTAAATTCCCGGGGCAAGGGGGTGTTCCATCAGCTCTTGTTTTTCCCTTATCCAATTGATTTTGTTGTTACTTTGAATTAAATTGCAATGAGGTTCTGGAATCTGTATTCTTATTTTTCCACGATTTTTCCTTTTTCTTATTCTCTTTTATAGAAGCTGATATGAAGCGTGAAAAGGAGAGAAAAGAACAAGAAAGCAAGAAGAATCTGAAGCTTGATTTTGTAGCTACTGGATTTCAACCTGCACCCAAAGTGAACATGCCTATTGCAGGTGATTGAAGAATTTTTTTTCTTGGTAAATTACTTTTCAGTTGGTATCAGTGTTGTCCTTAAATTGAGTAAGCTTTGCAGGTGCTTCTGCTGGGGCTGCCAGTGCCTTGCACTCTGCTCCAACTGCAGCTGATAATGTTGCCCGAGGTGGTAGAAGCAAGAAGTCTAAGTGGGATAAGGTTCTCATCACTAGATGCAGCTATGTTAGTGAATTTATATTTTATTCTATATGGACTAATCTGTTTTGGTTATTTGCTTCAGGTGGAGGGGGATCGGAGAATTCCTCCTGCTGGAGGCCAGGAATCTTTGTCTACTGTTGTAGCTCATACTGCTGTTCCATCAGCCACTAATGCCAGTGGATACGCAGCGTATGCGTAAGTTCTATAACATCATTAGAAATTAGTGATCGTTTCCATTACAGTTTTGCCTTTCTGATTTTCTGTTTCCACATCTAAGTTAGATCCTACTGATTATTACTTAATTAATAATGATTTTACTTGGTTTTTGGTAAACGACAGGCAGCAAAGACGACGGGAGGCAGAAGAAAAAAGATCCACTGAAAAGAACAGAAGATCCTAAGCCATTCATGTAATGTTATAGTTACAATGTCACGTGGGATTGTAATCTTACATTCATGATGTGTCATTAAATAAGTGAATGCATATAATATCATGAGTGGATCCTTGGATGAAAAGAGTCAATCATATAATGACATGTCATAATTGCAAGCTTATAATGTCACGTGGCATTGTAACTATGTCATTTTTGTATCCCAAAACATCATTCAATTTTAGTCATATTGTTTTATTAAATTGTAGCCACAGGTTTTCCACCTTTTTTGTACCCCATAGTTAACTCACATAATTGTAGTTTCAATAATGCAGCAGTGATATAAACCTGTAATTGCATACCTTTGATCAATTTTTCTCTTGCTCTCATGTTTTTAGCTCAGTTATTCTTATTGGTGATTAGACGGTAGATTTAATGTGTTATCTAGCTGTACCAATGAAAATGCTAAGATACCAAAAGAACATGCATTCCTTCCTAGAAAGATTGGCTATCTTTTGCATTTAAAAAGAGCATGCAAAAGATCTCCCTAGATATCAATGATTCAAGATCACCCTTTCTGACTAAAAGGAAGGCAATGTATAATTCAAAAGGAAGCCTTGACCCCCCTAGATGTCATCTCAACGAAGCTCACTTTCCCTCAGGCTGCATTCAAAGCTTCTGTATCCTTTCGACAAAATTATTATTGCTTCCACCATGAACATTCTTCGTTATTTGATGATTGCGTTTTGCATAAGAAGAATTTCTGTCTTTCTTTTGATTGTTCTCACACTACTTTTTTTGTACCGTTGTGCTTACACTACTTGATTCCCTTTCCAACTGCTCAAGTAAAAGCAGTTAAACTACAGGGTCTTTTGGCAGAGCTTATCTTCTAACTTGCATAGAAACACTTTATTCTTCCCTCTCAGTATATTATTTGAAAGTGTAATTTTAGGCATTCCCATGAGTCTACTTTTTTTCTGAATTTCGATTGCCTTTCAACAATTATATAAAACCAGAATAGATATGTGATTCTGTCAATTCTCTTCTTCTTCCTTTTTCCCCATCTTTTGGCAATATGATTCTGCCAATTCAAGCAATCCATTTTCCCATTATTTTTTCTTTCTTAAAACTAAAAACTAAGCCCTGGTCATTGGATGACTCATAACATGAGAGCAACATCAGATCCATGGCTGCCTCAGAGAAAAAATATCAAGGGCAAAAGCAGAAAACTTTATTTAAAAATAATTTTATTAGAATTATTACATATGACATCTGGTTCTCGCCTTAAGTTACCTAGTACTATTAACCAACAAAGTAGATTATTATCATAAACCCATATTTGGTAATCATAAAAAAAAAAAAAAAAATCAGAAAATTTGTGGTTGATGTCCATAGCCATATTTGTTAAGGCTCCCTGCTGTATAAATATTTGGTAATCCATGGTTGGTTTAATATTAAAAAGGGAAAAAATGGCACCTGCATCTGACCTTGAGTTTCCTAATCGTTAAAGTCAATTATCAAATTTATAATATTTGGTAATCTTTCAAAAAAAAAAAAAAAATTTGTGGTTGAGATTCAATGCTTATTTGGTAGTCCTTCAAATATCAGAAAAAAAAATTGTTGTTAAGGTAATATTTTCTTTTCTTTTCCTTTCCTTTTTTTTTCGTTAAATACTTCTTCAATTTATTTTTAATAGATTTTATTTGATTTTTTTTAACTTTTTAAATATAAAATTTAAGTAAAAATTTAATAATTTATATAAATACTAATTAAAAAAATTTTCTCCACATAAAATTTTTATTGAGTACTTTTATTTAATTAAAATTTTTTAATTATTATTTATATAATATATTAAATTTTTATATAAAATTTATATGTAAAAATTAAAAAAGTTAAATTAAATTTAGTAAAAATAAACAGAGACAGCAAGATTAGTGGAAGAGAGAGGGAGACAGAGAGGAATCCGAACCCACAGGCCACACCTTTCCAGGCTTCCAAGCCATAAACCTTAATCCAAAGCCTTACTCTGAGCCTGAAAAAAAAAAAGGGGGCAAAGAGAAAGGCCCAATGACCCTATCTTGGAAATAACACCAAGATTTAGGCCCAAGGCCCAATTTACAGAGCCATAACAATGTCCATCTCGTGTTACTGCCAAAATTCCAGGCAAGGACAGGAAGCGCAGACTCCAGAACAGAAGTTGACGATGACGAGTCGTGTATGTAAAACAAATGGCAACAATCATGCATGCAGTAGTACGTCCCAATTTATAAAAGCCATACCATACAACATTGATTGATTCAAACTCCAATGTCATGAGACTTTCTTTTCTTTTTTTTTTTGCCCCCTTTTGGCTGGTAAATTAGAGAATTGTATTTTATGACATGAGAAAATGATAAAATAAATTAATACTTCATTTATTTTAAAATAATTGTTTTTTTTAATTATGAATTTCATAACAATATTTGTATTTAGTTATAATATCCTTAAAAAAGAAATAAAAACTTAAAAAAATTTTATGATTAGATAATTAATTAAAGTAAGTAAATAAATAATAATATGATTAAAGTAAAGAAAACATTTGTTTATTTTAAAAAATAAAAAAAATGAAAATTAATTTAAAATAAATTTGAACGAAAAGAATATATATATATTAAGAACCTTTAAAATACAAAAAAATTACTAAAAAAAATCTTAAATTCTTCTATACAATAAAGATATCATGTCTGTGATATTCTTGTTGTATAAAAAAAGTTCTTTAACCTTACTTCTTCTTTCATGTTTTTCTTCATTTTGTCTTTGGTTCATTCACGTGATGATCACGAGCTATATCATTATGAAATTCTCTCTTCTTCTTTCTTTAACTGTTAATTGTTGGTTGTTTTAGGTTTGATCTGAGTTATTTGTTTTGAGTTATTCATTGAGGGTCCAAAGAATATTACTATATATACCATAAACAACTTAAGAAACATATTATCATTCTCAAAATTAAGCATGCAATTTGCTGCCATATGGGGAGGGGAAAAAAGCAAGGGTAAAAAAGCTGGTGGCAGAGCTCAAAGTTCCATATTGCTTGTCTCTGCATCAAATTAAAGACGTTGGAGAATCGTACAACTGCACTGCACACGTTGGGGCCGACTCAGATTAAATCCTCTCCTCATTTAACTCGAGTATAACAAAAAAAAACCAAAGCCTAAAAAATTGAGATTCCTTTCTTTTTTCTTTTTTTAATGTAGTAGGGACAACACATTTCTCTTAATTAAATTATAAAACTGAATCTAATAAGACAGATTTTTGAGGGAGGCTTGTACAATAATTAACTAAATTATTAATAAAGGTAACTTTTTCATCTATACGAATAAGGTTTAAATTCTTATTATATCTTTTTGATTAACCTACTCCAACCCAATGGCAGACCCAATGGCATGAATCTAGGTTATGGTCGTTCATTTTTTGTGGATGACCTATTCGAAATCTCACAAATCTACTTTTCCTTTTTCTCATTTAATATATGTAAATAATTTCAATCTGTTTAAGCAAAAAAATTCTTATTATCTCTTTTACTTTTCTTTTTAAGGATTTCAACCAATTAATACATCTCATAAAAAAAATAAAAAGTTTTTTGAATTTAAACTATTTAAACTATATAGTCACATTTTGAAATGGTTGCAAAGTTTTCATATTCATTATGGTGAATACAAGTCCTTAAATTAGTATTTATCCTTACCCTTTGAAATGGGCAAAAAATTACATAATTTTAACTTTAAAAATTAAATTTATTGATAAATAAATGTTGTTATGTAAATTAAATTATGAGTTTAAGTATTAAGATAAGTATTTAAAAAAATAATTTTTTTAAATGTGCTAATCTGATATAAGAATGTATTTCTAAAATCATCCAAAAAAAAAAAATTATTTACGAACTTATCATGCGAATCCTTTAAAATTGAATGGAAAAATGGGTTTAGATCTTCACTGGATCTTTGACTATAATGACAAAAAATGGCGCTAATCATGGTGATAAAACTAAGTTTTAAGTATCTCTTTGGTCTCTAATTATTAATGGAATCATTTTTCTACTTGTTTGGAAACTTAAGCTAAAATGAAATTTTCTTACACACTTTTAAGCCTTTTTTAGAAGTTAATTTTAACTTTTAGTAAGTCAATTTTTTTTTTTTTACAATATACTCTCTTTATCTCAAAATAATAATAATTTTTTATTTTAAATTTATTTTAAATTAATTATTTTATTTTATTTTTAAAAATACAAAATATTTTTTGTTTTAATTTTCTTATTATTTATTTTGATTAATTATTTTATCACAAAAAATTTAATTTTATCTTTATTTTTATTAAGAATAATATAAATAAATTTATGAATTGTACTTAAAATTTAATTTTAAAAAATTTTAAAAATAATTATTTTAAGATGAAATGATTGTTCATCATTAAATCTTTGACCATAATAACAAATAATTGCGCAAAGAAGCCATACTTAAACTGAAAGTTCACTTAAAACCAAAGTTTAAATTGCGCTGTACTATTAACCTCTATGAGAGGTAAATGTTTCCACCTTTTCTTTCTTTTTCTTGTCTCAT